GACAAAAAATTCCCCATTCTGTGGCAAAGGCTTCTTCATTGCAGCGCTTCACAGATGACATGTGGGATGAGATTATGATTGACAGAGGAAAACAATCCCAATGGAGAGAGGGAAATATCTTGCCTTACAAAAACATGAAACATAACAATTTGATGTGGATAAATTTTGACAGGTCTCATCATAAGCAAACTAGCGTAAATGAAAATGAGGGGGTGACTAAACAAAAGTTGATCCTAGGGAACTGAGCATATCACTTTTCATTTGAAGGAATATTGAGAAAAACACTGATTTGTTCTTACTTTTCGTTTCCAGCTTAATAGATAAAAAACAAATTGAGCATTTGCATTCCGAAGGTTAGACTTGTTATAGGTCTATTTGAAGTACAAGCATGACATCTATTAAGTTGCAATTTGCCTTACCTATCTTATATGGTAAAACAGCATTAGATTTTGAGGGCCGCATTCTAACACTTTGAAGAATTACTATGCGAGACGTATAGCTGAAAATTAAGGGACTTCTACCACCACTTCGACAAATAAACAAGATGTAAGGGTATGCAGAGCATGAGGAGTATAAAGCTTGATAGGTTTTGACATTCAATTGTTCGATTTTCTGACCAATTGGTTTATTCATATACCGCTTTCAAAGTAAGTTATAGAAAAAGAAGAAAAACCAGGAAATCAATCGCAAACCAGAACGAGGAGGAGCAGTTAGAGAATCACCATTGTCACCGTTATTCGTACTAATTAACTCAATTATTTTGAATCAGCACACACATCCGTGGAGGTATATTCCTAAAGATGACATGGGTGAGCTGAAATGAATTGAGCAACGCAATTCGAGTCAGAGATAGAAAGCAAAATCATCTCTTGTTTGTTGACTGCAAATTAGTTGATTATAGGTACTGCCAACTTCGCGTACGGCTTAGCCAAAACGAATAAATTATATCATAGTCATGCCAAAATTTGTCAAGAGTTGGGACCCTTTCTTGCTGCGCTTCGGTGATTGGTACGTTGCATAACGACAGCTATGTGAAGGAGAACCAGGGACTGGAGCAAACATGGCTGTGTATCCTTTTCTTTCATTAAAATTCTCAAAAGTAATGACAGAATCCACATACAGATGGCGGGCTGAAAAATCATTTTTTTTTTACTTTTTCTCTTTTTTCTTAGCAATGACGCTAGCCGTTTAATCCACACCTGGTATAGGCCGTCCGCGCAGGGCACGGAGCTCCTCTTTCCTCGTGCACTTTCGCCGCCTGCGCAACAGCGTTGCTCTCCGTGCGTAGCGCGGACCTATAGCTTTTATATGGCCAAATTTCAGGATAAGAGAGGTGTGAACTCTAAAAGTCTGCAAATTCGACTCTTTTTCTACCATCTAGGATACGTAGCAAAGCCAATAGTATTCTTGTTTAAGGATACCAGATAACACATGATTCTCCTTTCTAAATCGTGTTAAATGGAGTAAATCCGCTAAAGCCATGCTGGAAATGGTAACGTGCATCCTCAAAAATCCCCAAAAAAGACCAAAGCCTCTATAAACCAGAACAGCACATCTATGAACGCGATTGAAAATATTCAGAATTTCTTGACTGCAGATAAAATCAATTGCTTAGATTTGAGATGTTGGTTGCATTTAGAGCTAGTTTTTGCGTATTACTTTGCGTCAAATTCTATGTAGACCACTTTGTACCTATTTAACATCTTTGTTTAAATGTTTTTGAACCTAAAGCATCATTTTGCAGAGCTTGCTTAAACCCGGTTAAAGTTTGCAACAAATTACCGATCAGTTTTCATTAATGTTGTGTATAGCACTCTAAGTGCACATAGCGTCGCTTAGAGTAAAGTATAAACACATAGAATTTGTGTGATAAGGCTGATCATATGCCTACCTTTTTATAAACGAGTGATATCTGATGTTAGAACATAATTTGAGAAACATAAATAGACGAGCTGTCTCGAAGTCAGAAAGACAGATTGTCTCGTTGTAAGTTCTCGGATGTTTTGCTCTCCTAGGTGAATTTGATGCTCGAACGTAAGATTCCGCTCAAGATTACAAATACCTAAGAACTGCTATTATAGTCATACTTAAACGAAGAGCGGTTGTCTTGCATTGCGAATCTAATGATAAGTAGAATTTAGATCTACAAAATCTCCAAAGCGAACCTAAAAAACCCTGAGAGAAGGTAATGACGGCTACAAATATTATTGACTCTCTGTACGTACATCGCTCACGTCTGCATGAAAAATCTTAACAAATAAAAAGTTGATTTCCAGCATTTGCAACATTCATTACCATTGTTTTTGCCACTGCATTTTTACCACAAAAACTCAAAAAATATGACGAGTTGCTTGCAAAACAAGTTACCACGGCCAAAAAAGAGAGAATTAGATAACAAGATAGCGAAGTCGCTGGAAAACCACGGACCGGGAAAGACTGCAAAATGCAAAATCTGGGCAAGGCAACGGAGAGCCAAAGTACACAAACCTATAAATCCTTTTCAAACTCTCGAAATGCGTTGCAATCCCGTGGGATTTCAATAGAAAAAAGAATTGAATGACGCCTTGAATTACAGTCAAAAAGCAATGTGAAATGGCTACGAAATAACAAGAAATAAATTAGCAGGAATATTGCCTGCCTGTGGTGAGAATATAGACTTTATCAAACGTAGGGGGTGGGGGAATGAACCTGCGATTTTCTCTTTAATTGGTCAAAAGATTCAAAATAGTGTTCCAATAATCGAGTTGATTCGGTACCGCTTTCTACCGAGCCAACACTGCTCCAACAGGGGATATGGCCCTTCTAAACCCACCGTTTACTACAGTAACCCCGCAAGTAGGACGCGGGCGCCTGGCTTATCCATTCCCATTTCCGAGAAGCTGCTATTCGCTGCATTTTGCTATTCTTCGGCCCTAACTTTGTCGTGATAGTATCAATCAGGTTTGTTTCTAGAAACGTAATTCTGAATTTCTTAAGTAGTTATATGAATGGTTTTCTCATCTTATTTTGATTACTCTGTTGCCACATTTTGTTTGTGTGCATCCTTTCTGCTTCATGCATTGTCAAACGTTTGAACGTTCTGAACTGCAACTGCATGACGCGTCGAAAGGAAAGCACACGCGACCCGACCCACAATTCAAAGTACAACAGATGGTTTTCTATGAACTTTGCACGATACCTCTTAGGGCCGCATGCACTAATATCCCCGCGGGGAGGGGATCACAGCTTCAGAAGAAAGCTTCATATCCTGAAGCTCCGGATATCTGGATTTCACGCTGTCTACCTATCCGTAAGTATTCCTACTACCCTTCACTATGAACATGTTGAACAGGAGCGAGAAGCTGTACAAACCGCATTTTCCAGCTTTTGTATGATCCCTGATGATCCCCGGCGCTTTTCTTTAAAGTCATTTTTCTTTCTCCGAAGTTAACGAAAACCTTCCAAAGTTGTACTGAACATCTAACACAATACTGCTAAGCATGTTGCTGATGAAAACAAATGAGTTTTTGAAAAGTCGAATTTTTCGGTAAGCCTCAAATTTCGACCTGTGGATCATCGCAAATTTCATGACTTCAAAACATCATTTGTTCTTAGCAGCAACATGCTTAGCACTGTCGGGTTAGACAATTTGCACAACTCTGGAAATTCTTCGTTAACTTCGGAGAAAGAAAAATGACTTTGAAAAAAAGCGCCAGGGATCATCAGGGATCATACAAAAGCTGGAAAATGTGGTTTGTACAGCTTCTCGCTCCTGTTCAACATGTTCATAGTGAAGGGTAATAGGAATAATTACGGATAGGTACACAACGTGAAATCCAGGTATCTGGAGTTTCGAAATATAAAGCTTTCTTTTAATCTGCGATCCCCTCCCCGCGGGGATGTTAGTGCATGCGGCCCTTAGTTTATAGTTTGCTCTAAATGACTATCGCTCAATATCAAGGCATCCGTTTGATAGCATCTAGTGAGTGGTAGTAATTTGGTCGAAACCAACAAATGATGTGATAGTTCAATTATGGTTACATCGTGGTAAGCATGATCATCTTTTCACGGCCACTCAGTTCAATCGGTCATACAAAATCATGAAACAAGCAAGTAACTAGCAGAAAACCATAACTGTTTCATGCTTGTTTCATTCTAAACCAAACTATGAGTTAAACAGCAGGTTAACACCATTGTTCCCTTATCAGATAGAGTAATGAAAACAGTACTTCATTTCATGAGACGCAGACGTGAAACCACCACATCATAGTTTAAAATGAAAAAGTACCCCCGACCACTTTTTCGTTTCAAACAATTATGTGTTGGTTTTGCAAGTTAAGAAGAGTGAAGGAGATCATTCTGCAACTTACTATGAGAAAGCTTACTTGTTTACAGCTTAGATAAGGTTATAGGAAGGTGCAAGGGTGGAGACCGAACTGCAAATTTGGTAAAGTGCAATGATTGCCGACAAGCATGAGAATGGTTGGAGTTTCGATCTTCTCCAATGACTTTGCTTTGCAAAATAGCATTTCGAGGTTTCCTATTGGTTAATTCGTGGTTTCGTTGGGAAAGTGATGTGAAGCTGCTGGTTAGCTGGTGTCATGAAAACACAGTTAACATGATGGTTTCAACCAAATTACTACCACTCCTAGTCTTTGCAAACGCTGTTCATTTCTCGCTGATTTTTAGGGCTGTACATGGAATTTTGAATGTTCATAAGCCATTGCTTGTAGATCAAATTTCTGAGCTAATTCTAGAACTTCTCAGCTCTCCAAACTCATGAAACAGTGATATCCGATATTTCCCTTCATGCTTAGAACTAGATCCATCGCAGAAAACCATTAAAAAGGAAAAACGCGCAATTCAGCAGCCAGTTTCCGATCATAATCCGAGTTTTTTAAAAGACAGTATTTTCCTGTTTTGTCCAACGAGAAGAACCTTCATAAGGTTTATTATGTACGAAACGTACACAATCCAACGCCTAAAAATGGTCACAATCTTCGTAGTAATGTTGTTGTTTTCATGTTATGAAGCACGAATCGATAACTAATCAAAGCTACCTAAGGATATGTTATCCAAAGCTCAATCAGTTTCTGAAAACTACTAAGCATATTGAGTTCAGCTATTAAAACTTCAAAGTCTAAAATCACAATCCTATTGAGCTCTAATCTAATAAATAACCTGAAATTCAACCCTTAGCAGAGATCCACATTTGATTTGGAAAAATCTAAGCGTCATTAACTAGCATGAAGTTTGTAACAAAAGAAATTCTGGTTTAGTGAAGATCCTCGATAAGCATAGTAGCCCACTCCATGAGCAGTTCGTCAACCAAGCCACCCTTGTTGGGATTTGCGCTTCGAAGAAAAGCTGTATGTCCACCTCCGCTTGTCACTACACTGACGACCGAATCGCTCTCTTTGACGGCTTCAGTTGGGATAGCTGAAAAGAAAAATGACGTTAAGAATGCAATGGAGTGAATGAATATATAGCTGTAGTTGTTGCGCGAAGAACCAAACTGAAACTCCTCCTTATTACTCTTGAACGACGCTTCGGCACTAAATTTTTGGCTTAGAAAGGATCCTTATATACTCGTTTTTCTCGGCTTTGACAAAGGCGATAGCAACGCATGACGAGGATAACAAGGAAATACTACCTTGGTTCACCACAAAACTCGCACGCAATGAATATCAATGTGAAAATTGGAGAGTACCCGATGCTGGAAAAGTAAAAATGGATGCTCACCCTCTAACGGACTGAAGCAATCGTCATCAGCATTCAAACATAGTGTTGGAACACATATCTTATGCACCTGAAATCAAAACTCCAATCTAGAAACTTCCGCGAGTATGTACAGATAGGTTGAACCTTTTTGTTGGGCGCCGCATCCGCATAATAATGATCAGCGGATTCATATCCAAACAATGGTGCCGTAAAACGTGAGTCAAACTCGCGAAGTGTCACCGATTTTAGTACGAGATCAAAATTCATCATCTCATGATTTTCATAATATTCCCTATACCTGAAAAATGTCATAAACAACACAACGTTTATCTATTCTGCAATTTCAAAGAAATAAAAGAAGCGGTAAAAATGAGCACGTACTTATCAGCAAAAGCAACGAGTTTTTTCGTAATGTGGCGATTGTAAGTATGCTTTGCGAAGAAACTCTGCAAAGATAAGGAACTGGACCAAGTAAATTGTGGACCTCGACATTTTTCTGAGGTAACAAAATACCAATTTCACAAACCTCCAATGAACTTGTAGTCCACTTTGGATCGAAAGGTGACGAGACAACGAGCGCCCCTTTGAGAATTGCATCTTCCTTGGTAGCACAGGTTGCTAAGTAGTTCCATAACACCATACTGGAAAAAAATTTGAATGTAGTATACGAATTTCTTGCAGTGTTCACTGTTCACAGTGCAGTGTGGCCAGTGCTCACTAACCCTCCCATGCTGAAGCCGCAGCCAACCATTTTAGCTTTCGGATATTTCACCGACACACGCTTCACTACCTCTGCAACATCATGATGCCGCACGGAATTGTAAGCTCTAAAACCGATAAACAATATGCGAAACTACCGAAAAATTTACAAGAACAGGAACGAAGAAAAGAAAGCTCACATTCTATTTCTGAGATTAACACCACCTAGACCCCGAGGATTGTATACAACGACTCTCCAACTCTTCTCGTAAAGTTGTTGCGCTGGATACAGGATATATTGACAATCTCGGGTTGAGCCTAGAAAATGAGGTAGATCCGAGTATTTTTTGTTATCGTTACTGAGATGGAAAGAAACTCGCACGTATGGGAAGATTACAAGAAATTGAACAGGAGCACAAAAACCAATTCAAAAATTTCAATTCACAAAATTTTGAATAAAATTTACAGAAAGAGCAAATACCGAAAAGCGCTGCGGGCGCTATACCTCAAAATTCAACCTACAACTCGGTCATCAATTACAGGAGCGAACCTGATGAAGCTATAAGAAATGATTTCTGATCACAAATGATATCTATTCCAAATCCTCCAAGTTGCAAAGATTGGGGCACTCAAATCATGTACACGTCAGGACCGTCTAATGGGATACTCAGCGGGTGATTACGACCAAAATTTGCGTGATATACCCTTGAGCGCTACTGTAAGCACCGTAGGTGAGCCTGAGAAGCTAATGGGGCACACCCTTAAGCGTTGCTTTGAACACCAGAATAATTGTCAGTATAGCGCAGCTCTAATCTCTTTCAGCGGAACTCAAGTTCTCGTCATAAGACCAATAGTAAATTTACAATTAAATCACATCTAATGAGTGTACATCTGCAAAGAGGGAAGTAAAGAGTGGAAGATGATAACTGCTTTTTATGCGGCAGCCACCACCACAGGAAACCACGTAAGAAATTGATAGCTCGTCAAAGTACCTGTTATGCCAGGCAAGAATAGAATAATGGGTGCGTCTTCTGGACAATTTTCTTGGAAAAGCCAATCGATACCTAACGCGCCTCCGTCCGCAAACTCGATCACTTCTCTGAATTTAAAACTCTTGGGTTGTAGCGAGGTGTAGTTACCAAGCAAAGGAGACCAAATACAAACCTGACAAAGGGCAAGTCAGGGCAGGCTCTGAAGGCACTCAGTATAGTCTGCGCATCGCCGAAGGGGCACCACCATGGTGGAGTGTACACCTAGAACATTGATGAACTTAAATTCATTACTATATCGAATCAAAAAGATCTTGGTGAGACGGGACAGGAAGAATTCGAACCAAGGACTACAGATGGTCCATCCATTAATAAGACCCTGTCAATAGATGTTTACCATGATGGAGCCTCAACTAAAGAAAAAAGAAATTAGTAGAAATCTAGTGACAAACCTTCTTCAAGGCTGGTATATACTTGTCGACCCGTTCGAACAACTCGCCGTCCTTCTTCGCATATACTAGCGGCTTCTGAAAGGCATTTGTGGAATGCACAGACATGGTTCGATAAGACTGACCTTGGACCTGTACTTTGCATATAGCCATAGTGAAGTTGGCACTGCGACTATTACGAAGCCAACGACCGCTAGCATATTGACACACTAAATGAAGAATACATCCTAGACGAATTCAAAATAATCAACTTGTTAGATAGCTGGAAGGCTGATATAAGAGAAAGCTAAGGCTTTGGCCATACTTTGCCCGTGTTACCGGTGTTGAAAGTGTTGCCAGTGTTGAAAGTGTTGAAAGTGTTGCCAGTGTTGAAAGTGTTGAAAGTGTTGCCGGTGTTGAAAGTGTTGAAAGCGTTGCCGGTGTTGAAAGTGGGAATCATCAGCCTTGCAGTTTCATTCTTCCTCGAACGATCTCACCGGCTGGTGAGTACGTCTGGGACGGAAATGGGAAATGAGAAATGAGACTGAAATGAAATAGGAAATGCTTTCGCAAAAGCTCCTCAAACGTACTTTTTGGAAAGTGAAGGACTTGTTCTGAATAGGCAATCTCCAACACTTGAGATGTAAGGTTTAATGAGAATGCGTGTTAGGTGTCGAATCCGGCGCTTCTGCGATTAGTGAGCAAAAGATCTTTGGGAGGTCTCGCAGCGTTCTCGAATGTTGGAGATTGCTTCTTTTGAACAAGTCCTTCACTTTCTAAAAAATTTGCTCGAGGAGCTTTTGCGAAAGCATTTCCTATTTCATTTCAGTCTCATTTCTCATTTCCCATTTCCACCAGACGTACTCACCAGCCGGTGAGATCGTTCGAGGAAGAATGAAACTGCAAGACTAATGATTCCTACTTTCAGGCAACGCTTTCAACACTTTCAACACTGGCAACATTTCAACATTTTCAACACTGGCAACACTTTCAACACTGGCAACACTTTCAACACCGGTAACACGGGCAAAGTATGGCCAAAGCCTAAACGCTGAACAACTTCTGAACTGAGTAGCCATCAACATTTCCACCCGAGTTTATCGCCTCGCGATTCTCCCGATAAGAAACTGTTGGGAGGGAGCCCATGGTATGCCGATCCTCCTGCGTTTCGATTGTGATAGTTTTCCGACACGATTAACCGTGACTAACTAACACAACCGAAATACAAGATGAACGACATGAAATGGTCGTAACAGTTGTCTTGTTAGCGATAAAAGCGCGTGAACTTGAGCGAGGCCTTTGAGAAAGCGCGGTAAATCGGCTGGTTTTCTTCATAAAGGTGAATATCGGCGAATAAACTCGAATCCATTCAGTAGTACATGACAATATTGAAGTCATGAGTTATTGAGAATGTCCTCAGAAAATACTGAATTTGACTCTTATGTCAGACATACAGTGCCTCGGATGGCGCAACTCATCTATGGCATAAGTGAGAACTTGGCCAAAGCTTTTACTGAAATTCGAAGTTCTAAAAAGTGCAACATACAACCCTTCAAGCGTTAAAACCGAATTCAAAATCTCAAACTCACACCGGCGACCATCCTGGGCTACGTGCAGACTACAACCGCGCTATTGCATTCGTCATGCACAGATCCAGAGACAGTCCGAGAAGCGACCTTCGAACCTGCCGCCCAGCAAGCGGAGAGAGCAACAGTAATCGCTCTATCAAGTCGAGGCGTCACCTGAAGACATATTCCGTGACAGTGCGACGCGCTAGTGCACAAACACTGCAGACATGCGCGCTCTGCTGTCGGCAAGCGGGTGGAGGACATTAGGTCGCCGAATTTGGAAGAGTCCCGCGCGGATTCCCTGCAGGAACGCATGTCCGCGTATGTACAAGGGTGCGTATTTGTCGCAAATGACCGCGGGGACCGCCCTCTTTCGGCGACCTAATGTCCTCCACCCTCGGCAAGCCAGGTCGCGACCAGGAAGGTCATCTTCACTTTTGAACCTGATAAACCTTTTTCTCTGACCGAAAAGTGGGAAAATGAGTGGAATTGGCGATGTATTTCAACGAAATAATTTTGGACGCTATTCCACATTAGTTGACCCAAAAAATAAAAATCGTGAATTTCGCTAAAGCTTCGTCTAGGGAGGTTATTTGGTGCGTTGAACACGAATATGATGTTTATTTCGTGCGACAGCGCCATCCGGTGGAGTTACGGTGGGATTACGGTGGGGGTTCAAAATCCCGGATTTGCCCGGAACTTCGCCTAGAGGGGTTATTCGGCCCGCTGATGCTGAATATTACATTGGTTTTGTACCGTAACATCACTTTCTCAGGCTACGGTGGGTATACTGCAGGGGGTCGAAATCTCAAAATTTGCTATAACTTCGCACAGAGGGCTTATTCGACATGCTGATTAGAAATGTCACACTCTCTCCGCACGAAAACGTCTCCCTGCGTAGTTACGGTAGGTTTATGGTAGGGGTCAAAATTACAAATTGGCAAATGTATCTTTCCCCTGTGGATGTGTAGCGCGCAGAGGTGGTCGTGTGTGCAAAGCCTCACGATCGTCCGAATCGCCGTACACCCATTTCAGGCAAAACTATGTTTTACACTCGTCACCGTGTAGCTACCGTAACCCGATAAAATGACGCTACGGTTCAAAAACAATGTGATATTTGGCATCAGCAGGCCGAATAACCCCTCTGGGCCAAGTTTCGGGCAAATCCGTGATTTTGACCCTTTAGCGTAGTCCTACCGTAACTCCACCGTGTGGGGCTGTAGCACAAAATAGACATCATATTTGTGTTCCGCATACCAGATAACCCCCTAGACGAAGTTTTAGCGAAATTCACGATTTTCATTTTTTGGGTCAACTTATGTGAAATATACCATACCTATTGTTAGTGACATCTGGCATTACGACGCTTATAAACTCGAGTGTAAACGTGTAATGTTGCAATCTTCTAGGTTCTACGAGATAATGTTTTTTCTCAACCAAAGTATCAATTAGCCAGGCCGAGTCAAGAAAACATCGCCGGGAACCACGCCTTTGAGAAAGAACCTGAAAAATCAAAATCCAACAACTCATAGCTTCTTAACTTCTTCAAGATCTTTCGAAAACGTTTGATATGCGCAAATGTGATGCTTTCACGGCTTAAAGGCACCGTCCACCATAAGATGAAGGTCTTGAGCTTTTGGCAACATATAATAGTAGGGCCCCCTATCAAACCAGCCCAAGTCGCGGTTCAAAATGTCGTTTCGGAAGCGAGAAAATCGCTGCGGAATAGCGAAGATGCATGAGGATTCCAAACCGACACCTCCCTTTTCCAGTAAAGCCCGCCTATCTTTGCGCTCCCATCCAATCACCGGAAAACCGGCCTGCGGATTCTCCGGAACGGGGATTGTCGGGGTTTCAGCGGATTCTCGACTTCATGCTCGGAATCAGGGACATGAGAAGGCCCCGAAACGATCAGAACATGGAAGTCGAGAATATGGGTGGACGGTGCCTTCAAAAGTAAAGGGGAGACATTTCATTACATGTCCTCCTTTGAAGGCTTCCAGCTGAGCCGTTGAGTGAGCGTAGGAGGCTTCATTTCCTTTCATATCACCCTTTACTTGGAAGCTCTTGAAGAAAAATTCCTGAAAACGGTGCATCCGAATTCATGAAGTTTTCAAAAAGTTGTGGTTATTTGTAGAAACCGATTTTTTGAGTTGCTTATTCGCATGCTTAGTTCTAGGCGTTTTCTCTCGAATCGGCTTGGCTAAATTATATTCTGATCAAGAAGATCTTACGCTATTGAATCTACAAACCCGCTACATTCACACCTTCACGATCGTGGTGAACAATACTTGAAGTGTCAGTTGTCATTAAACATTCAACGTAATACCTCTTTTCAATCTTTCTTGTATACGAACTCCTAGATCGACATGCTTCTTTTATTGTCTGATGCAGCGAGACCTATCCTTCAAAGCCCTTGAAGTTTCATTGATCGTCTCTTTCATAAACAAGCTTTATGAAAGTACAAATTTTGAGTGATTTAACGCAGTTTTACAATTGAACTGCTGGTTTCTAGCAATGAACTCTTGTGTCAACATTGTTTTCGCAACTTGAACAAGTATTTTTAATCAAAGTACATTAAGTTTCAGATTGTTGCACTTACAGAAAACTGATAAACGCTTTTTTTGGGGATACACGCTTGTACTCATTGTATTTGTGACTCTGAAGAGCTCTTTAGGTTGAGATCTAGGATCTCAGCTATTCTAAAATTATCGATGTTCTCCGGAGTTGCAGAGAGTAAGGGCGTACGACGTCCATAGCTGTGCCGATCTTTGAGTGCTTGCAATACGTGACGGAGTGCAGTTGACATATTTCTAGTAGTAAATATGTGATGGAAATTATTTTCAAGATTTTTTGAAACTAATAAGCTCTGTTAAGAAATTACACGGGGCATAGCTGCTGCCATTCCGCCTTTCTCGAAATCTAAAAGTTGTAGACCCGCTGAAATATTGCTATCTCACAGTTTTTTCAGAAGGCGTGGCAAACGGCAAACCTAATCTTTTGAGAAAATTTCTTCGTTTCGAAAAAGGACGAAACACTCGAAGATACTGCATCGTATACTTCGGGAAACTAGAATTTTTTTTAAGTATTCGAATATCGAATATTATTCGAAAATGGAAATTTTCGAATCGAATAGTATTCAAATATCAAATATCATTCGTTATTGGATTTTCGGATTTCGTTCGATTTTCGAATACTATTTAAATAATGTATGTCGGTTAGACTGCCTATGAGAGAACAAAACATCTAACAATAAATTGTTTCTAGTAAGTATCAAGAAAAGACACTTTTTAATGTTACAATTTAAAAATGGTTTAATGTTGACGTGAAGAAATAAAGAACCTAAAAGCGTACTCTGATTTATGAGCGTTTTTTGGCTCAAAAACTTGAACGCAACAGGAACAAATTCGTCCAAGACTGCGCAAATGGCCCAGTGTTGAATATCAGAGCACTCCATGCATCAAAAAGCTTTTGTTTACCATACTCGTAATGAACACTTTTTTATTTGAGCGCTGGAATTACATACATTGACTTCACGCTTTTGCTACCATTTTTTTTCGCTCTAAAAATACATATAACTTAGCGTCTAAGGGTGCTTGGCAAGAAATAAAAACAGCTTTGGAACCAGCGTTTGATGCTCTTCAGATTGGTATATATTCCATTTGGAAAGCTGATTTTGATTTTGGGTCCTTTCCTAGTTAAGCATACAGTAGGGAGTCATTTATAGATAGTCACAGTTGTAAAATTCAAATAAGGAAATTGAAGAGGACTTTTAGACATTAAGAGCCTATGCCCAGGAAAGGAAATCAAAAAGGCCGAAAGTCTTACATTAAACCTGTGAAGATACTCACTATATGTATACAGAATTTGCACTCAACTAACGCTTTTTTTACAGCTTATGCCGGGTACACCGTAACAAATATTTTTCAACGCTTTTCAAAAATGTGATTGCACACTTGAAAAGCCTGAAAACGTGTGCGTAGTAAAATCAGCACACAACAAAAGACTCTGAAACAGAATTTGGATTTTTTTGAGAAATTCTTTTGGAGGTCTTATTTCGCAGTTGCTCTTTATGCTGCAAGTTCCTACCGTAATAATATTAGGGTAAGAAAGTTCTCGGACATTTTCAGAAAAGATCTGCTATTTCTCGAAACCTAGCGCATATACATCAGACTGAGGTACCATTCGATAGAGCAAAGCAAGCTCTATAAGATGGTATGCAAAGTTTCGCACCAGCTTCGATTCACCGTAAGTTTACGCCCAAAATCTGAGTCGTACTGAAATTCAAAGAATCGCGAAAAATTCATATCTTTGTTCAAACAAATCCTCCGGATCTCTAACTTGCTCACAAAAATTGCACACCACATCAGACACTCATATGCATCGTTCCTGTAATTTTTCCTCATCTAGAAATCGAAAAAACGAATATTTTCATGCTCATGTAAAAACGAAGCTGTGCTGTTTCCACCCATGTATTTGAATAGTACAAGCCCCTAGAAGTATAACCGTAAATTTTCAGCTTTCTACGGGCCCTAGTTTCCGAAAATTAGCGATTTAAGCGCTTGGGCGTTCCATGCTAAAATCAATATTTTTCGACAACTAGGGCTTACGGGGTTGGCAAAAGACTTGGTGAGAGGTATTAGCGATCAAACACTGTGTAGATAATCTTGATCCCGTATATGTTGCGGATAGCGAATTTCCGAATACTCGGTGATCATTGAATTGAATAGTCAATTCTTATTGAATTTTCGAATATTTGATGGAAATCGAATGACTGAATTAACGACCATCGAATACTGGATTATCGAATAATATTCCAAATTTGAGATTTTCGATTATTCGACTTTCGGACAATATTCGAAAATAAAAGTTTTCGAATATTCCAACATTATATATTATTCGAATTGTCAAAATTTCGAATCATTCGCATTCGAATGATTTATTTGAATTATCGAATAATCATTCGATTCGTTCCAAAGTATGTATACTGCACCAGCCTTCACGCTCTTCTTCAGCATTTTCTCCTCCCCCTCTCCACCCCCCCCCCCCTCCTCTGTTCCCGGGCGACGTTTCATTTGAGGTGTCTCAGTAGTACCATCTTTGATTTTAGGGCAGGAGCAGCTGACAAATTTCACCTGGGAGCGACTTGGCTCTCTCCGCCGCTACTCTGGCCGCGACTGTGGCAAAGGCATTTACACACTTTGAACATGGCTATGAGTGGTGGAACAATTGAATTATGAGTGCGGCGTACATTTTTTATTTCATCTGTAATGACGCACTTTGAGCACATTGCCGAACTTGATTAATTAATTGACTGCTCATTTAACACAATAGAGAATTAGCTACTATGCTTAAATTGCTGCTAGTGTAGGAGCGCACTAAACATCTCAAAAGTGCAACGTTTCTCTAATTCGAAGACGATTATGTTTTGCATGCCTAAGGGCAACCGCTCGATAAACTAAAGGTCACTTGGATCTCAACATTGGATAGGAAATTGTCTAATTCTTGTGTTCCATTTCCCGCTTGAGAGGACTTTCAAAAGAACTGCTGGGGAAAGAACTTTTGGCAGATATCAATTTAAAGTAGATAAAACCCCAGAAAAATTGTGGTTTTTCTCAAGCAGAAGGATAACGATGAGTTGCTTGTGGCTTTCTTGATCCGTTTGAAATCACCAGCGGCTAAATTCCACTTGGAGCGATCTTTCGCTGCAGGTGTATGTAATTATAATGGACTACGCTTGGACTAAAGTACCTTCTATAATTAGCAGTGATCACAAACCTCGAGATCGCTGTATATTGCTTCTTCGCACACGCCATGAGCCGCACGTTTACTTTTGTGTGCAGTAAACACTGCTGTGTACTTCATCAAAACAGCTTGTAACTCCATGCAAAGAAAGCAAAATTAGAAGAATTGCTGAAATTTGCAAGAAAAGACGGGTCAAAATTTGCAGCTACTTTTTCTAGCCCAATTCAATAAGGCGAGAATTTGGTTGAAGGTTTAAAAATTGGATAATGCTGATCCCCTGAAATTACAAACTATGACACGCGGTGATGTTTCTCGGTTTTCAAAAAAGGGCAGCAACGTTACATGCACAAAAATAGGTTCAACCGCCGAATAGCCACAGAAATCGGACGAACGCACTTGTTGTTGACAAGTTTTTGGCACACTGAGCTTTTATGGGAAAGCCAAGCCGAACGACGTCCATCGGTAGTCAAACATCGTGAAAAGAAACATTGTTCATCTTGCATCGAATTCGACCATCTCATTCAAGCGAATTTTGAGCTTTGCAGCTTAAATGCTCAGCCTGGACGGTGCGCAGAGTTTTGCAGCTTGATAAAAATACCGTGCGAACCAAGCTGATCTCCTGCCCGAGGTTGACAGAATCTCACAAAAGAGATAGACCCAGTTTTGCAAGAAAAAAGTTCCGAGGCAAATCGGCTGGGATAAGACACTGAACTTCTACTGCCGCATTTATTCTTAAATTCTTGTTCGAATTATCTAAGCAAACGAAAAAAGATTTAATCTCGATGTTTCAGATAGGATGGCGCATTATCGGTACGACCTACGCAAGAAATCGCGATATAGGTGACAAGCCTGGAAGTTTGACAAGTGATAGGTTATCATTTCGCGCGGTATGGCAACCAGATCGTATTTCTATGCAAGGTAATGCATCTGTTCTCGAGTGCTGTGCGACGTTACAGTACTTTCGCGACAACAACATCCAGGTACTTGATTGGCCCCATACTCTTCCGATGGAAGTCCGCTGTGATGACAGGCATTCAGCACTTTACATAAACAAAAGCAAATTATTTGACTAACATACCAAACCCTCAATCTAGCTAGCATTGCTCCTAAGCGGTCAAGGTCAATAGACGTCAAGGTTACTAGAGGCAAAATTCAAGCCACAGGCTACCGAAGGTATTTTGCTGATTAGTTTTTGTTTTCTACTCAGTGGCTGCAAGTTTTGTCCAACCTTATTTCCACTTCGTTCCATATTTTCCTTGTCTTATATTTTGAAGAGAGCAATGGAAAAATGTCATCATGATTTTTTTCGTTTTGCAGCCATTGTAAAAACCCGTAGCCGCGATGCCGAAAAGAAGATGAGTGGTGGCTGCAAACTGCAATACTGTATCACGTTGGTCCATTTTTAATGCTTTTTCTCTAAACTTCAACTATGAAATAAGACACTTCTTTTCAAAATGATCTTTCTGATATAAAATATATAATCACTATTCTTCATATATATGATCAATGAAAACCATTGCAAATATTTAGCCATACAACACACATTTCTGTACGACTGTAGTAACTACGGGAAGATTTCCTGACAAAAAGCCGAAAGTTACTTTTGATTTGAGGGAGCATAAGCACCCTTCAGGTGAACTAGAAAGATGCAAGCTTTGCTTTGTATAGCGAATGAAGGGCTGAATGGTAGAGTCGAACTTGGAATTTACGGAATTTGCGAGAAAAGTTTTTTCAGATTTTTTTTTTCAGATTTCAGAAAGAGATTTTCAAAAAATCGAAATTGCACAATTATTCTGTATTTAGAAAAGGAAAAAACTGTGTCTTTTAGAATTCTCCGGTTTTATCTTCTTTGAGAAACAAAATTCTGCAGTTTTCCTATTATTAGTTACCAGGTCCACTCTACCCGTTCAGAGCGAAAGCTCCGCAATCGCTTTTGCCTAAAGTTTTATACAGGGAATGATCCCAGCAAAATCATTCAAATTTAAGTCAAAGTTCAATAAAAGTTTTTCAAAAATCTAGTCTTATCAAATATTTGATCTATAGCAAAATTTCGCAATTATGAAACATATTTTTCCGAACAAATCTCAGCATTTCCCGTGGATTTATAATAGATCAAGTAGAATGGAGAAGAATTACAAGTTTCAGTCTCCTTGGGGGCAGACTTCGGTTTCCAATATAGACTTACGAAGTGAAAAACTTCAAAAAAATTTAAAGTGTTTACTTTGAATTTAGCACCGAAAGAACAGTTAAGGAAATCGTGCATTGATTAGATCAATTCAATATCTGCTGCTGCTACGGTTCAAACTTTTTTCCTTTTCAAGCAGGTGGAAGCAAATATGAAACAAATGAGAACATGCAGCTCATTCTCCTATCTTCCTTTGTGGAAGAGAGACATCTAAAATGCTAAATTCCACTCACAAATATGAAAATTTAGTCGAAATGTAGGTGGACGTGGCTTACAAGTGTACTAATAACACAAGCTTTTCACCACCGCTACGGTGGTGTGGAAATAGAACAGCCGCAATAATATGTGTAAGTACATCTTTTCAAACGGACTAAATTAATTTCAACTAATGATTGGATGCTTATTCAAAACATTGCATCTACAACCGTATATATAGCCTAAGAATGGAGTCAATTTTTAAACAAGAATGAAACATCTGACCATTATCCTCAGCGTAAGTAACCATTAGTATCTGCCGAATTAGACTTACATGAGTATTGCAGGTGCTGCCCATTCTAATCTCTGCCAAATCGAATCGAGGCTGGCCACCCCCAACTTGCGAAGCACTCAATCAGTTCAATAAAGTATTCGAAAAACAGTTCAATCTTCAATATAAAGATGCACACCTGGTTAGTTTTTGATAATGACACTTTATACTATACTATATACGTCCATAAAGTGGAAAGTTCTAGTATCGTTTGATCGCTTGAGCTTCAGGTCTATTTTGATGAAAATGAATTTTAGCACTACGATTGCGAACTCAGAGGTCGCACGAAGCAGCTGATGAAAGGACGTCCAATTGATAAAACCGAACGGGGACTTTATATCGTCAAAGACGTCCACAGAGGGTATGTCCTCATCAAAGGCAACTTCTTGTTTCATAGAATCCCAAAAATCTAATTGCAGCAATTTCACCAACGCTCAGCCTCAGCTCGCTGACAAAGTTATTCACAATAAAGAGAATCTCAAGTTCTTCATCGGGGTAAGCGAAATTTTTTCAAAGTCATTGTATAAAATATGCTAGAGGTTTGTGCCTGGTGAAAGTCCCATTTCCTCTCAAAAGTAGTGCAAGCTTTCGGTATATGAAATATTCATAGCGGGGCAATGGCTGTAAATTTTCAACCTGTTATTGATGGGATAAACAAGTTCTCATAGTACCCGTTTGAACAAAGAGTAGTACAATTTCAGTCTCTAATTTTCGATGAGACTTCCACAGATTAACCTTTTTTTGCTATTCTAGGCAATATTATAGATTTTATAGCCATCTCGTTCAGCTGAATCCTGGAACTCGCTTCGGATGTACGAGTCTTCAAGAAGAGATAAAAAAAGAAGAGAAAATAACAAGGGGACTATGTTGGCTGTACTGGAAGGTGTTCGCGAACAAGGCTAGCTGGAGGCTCAGGGACCACGAAAAGAGAAGACTGAAAAAGCTCAAACGGCGCTGCGTAAGGCACAAGAAGATAGATCAGGCCACAGTGATTTGCTTATTCAATCAGACTCAGAGTGTGCATGAGGGAAATGAGTAAGGTAGCGGTTTTTTTGTAAAGGTTTTCATAGATAAAGGTTAGTTTTTTATAAAGTCTGGATTCCTAGTCTGTGTACGCAAACCGTCAACAATGCAACATATTTCTCGTTGGTATAAAAACTACATCACCATCCGCATGGCTAACCTACGCAGTGACCGGGCCTCTGCCACATACTGGAACCGTCTCAAACTCTTTTAGAACGTTAGGAGCTTTGAAAGATGGTCTGATTCACAGTCAGTCAAAAGTTTAAATTCTATCACAACCATGGCATAGCTAAGCATTGTATGTGACATCGCTCTGGTGCAGTGGGGACCTTTTTGTTTTTGCTATGTTGATATTGACCAAATTCAATCAACCTATGATTAATCAATCTAGAATCAGGATTTGTGTCCGGAAGCTACTACTATTTGCGGACCATACATGGCAACAAGTTGGTGCTTTCTTCTATTTGGAGGCCATACCTCAAGAATCTTGAGATTATTGAATTTCGACTTAAGAGATCAGGGATTCTATAGAGTTACTGTCGAAAGTCCGTTAAGACCAGCAAAAGCAAGATGAAGGTTACGTAAAGCTTTAGGTTCAGAAATGCTCTGGTGATAAGTACTACATGATTGCGGACTTCCGGGTCATTTTCTTTAAGTAGGAGGTATACAATTTTTTTGCTGATGCGAATGTGCATTCCTTATGTGTAATGAAAGTTAACAAAACCGTTTTCTCCTTGCGGTTGAATGTTACGAGAGATGTGGCAAGCTATTTTTATCTGTTTTCGAATAGAATTTTTGCAGCATTTTTAGATCAAACCAAATGCAGCGAAATCCAACAATTTGTTTGTAGACGTAGGGACTAAAAGTATGTAATTTCTAAATCCAAGGCGACGTCCATAGTGCCCGCGCGGCGCTGTGCTGGCCGCGCTACAATCCCTTAAAGGCGCCGTCCATCCTAAGTCTTGAGCCCGGCAGTTTGCAGTAGAACCCCCGCCTGAATCAACGCTCAAGTCGCGGCGCAAAATGTAGCTTCGAAAGCGAGAAATTCGCTTCGAAATATCGAAGGGGCTGAGGACCCCAAGTCGGCACCGCTCCCCTTCAGTAATGCCCTCCCATCCGTGTGAGCCCATCCAATCACTGTTCCAGCGAACCGCCCTGCGGGTTCCTCGAAACGAGATTTCGGGGTTTTTCGCGAGTTTTCTACTTCATAAGCAGGCTAAGTAGGTTGAGCTGCACTTGATTCGCAAATACAATGTTTTGAGTTGCAAATGCGCACGTCCAGTAAGTGCACTCTGGAACCTATTTTAGTCACAACATTAAACGAATCCGCAACAACAGTTCGCCGAAGGACAATTAACTTCATTGTGAAGGGGTCAATGATCAAAGATTAGTGCTGCACGAAATTCTCTATAGTAGTTCGTAGAGCTTAAAGTAATTTATCAGCCGAAAATAAAGCCTTCGGGCTTATTTTTTTGTGTAAGCACCCTGTAAGGGAATACTATAGATTTGAATTCTGCCTTTGTTAATCACCGTTGAAGTTGTGAAGACGATCCGACGAAATTGCAATCTTTGTATTGATTTACAATGAGTTGATATTGGAATCAGTTGCCGTTTGCTGTAAATTTGCTTCATCTTTGATTCGACATCGATTTTTCATCGCTTTATGCGTAGAACAGGAATATGATTGCGAGCCTAAAGTTAGGTTTGGCTGATTGTGCAAGTGTGTCCATTTTAAGAGAGAAAAGAAGTTTAATAGCCCCATGAAAGTGATACGGAATTTGATCTTTCATAAAAAAGTTGTTTCTAGATAGCTCAGTGTATATTCAAATTTTTGATTGCGCTATTCGAGAAAAGCATTTTGTTTGGATATGCCCATAAACGAGTGAGATAATTTGTAACGAAATTTTGACCTAATTCTTCTGCTCTGCAAAAAAATGCTATGTATGTTTGATGCAAAAAATCAACTTGCGGAATCAAAACACTTCATTCTTACAAAATTAAGGTACCTTGAATTTTTGGAGACCATTTCGCCGTTTTCTGAAGGGTCTTTTGCATATGAGTTCTGCAGTTCCCTCGGCAATATCTGTTCAAGATTGTTTTTTTTATAAGTATATTGTTAAAGGACATGAACGCAAGACTAATTTGAGATAGCATCTTTCTTCTGAAGGATGAGCACCTTATGCCACATTTCTGACAGCTTTTTAATCTCAAATTTTCTAACGACCGCGTGTCGGGTCCCAAGAAAGTGATCTAGCCAGCGCTCAAAGACTCTCTGAAATTGAGACATGCACCACTCATACGGTCTGCGAGGGAGCAATTGATAATCCGATAGAGCTGGATTTGGGGGTCACGTTGCATACTGAAGTACCTTCCAGTCAAATCTTGCAGGAAAGTTTGACAATATTTGCCGTATATGATCATGTTTCGTAATGCAAAAAAAACACGCTGGATCTGTGCATTATATTAATTATTGGGCTTTTTCTGCAGCATGGCCCATTTCAAAAAATGCAGTTGGTTTGCATACGGTCAACCGTCTTCTTCTTGTTTAGCAATTCTCAGTGCGGTACATCCTGTCCGTCCCCGAAAAGTCTTGTTCAAGGACACCCTGATTAACCTTTGATCTCTTGAAGTTAGTAATCTCTTTATACTTCGAATTGACGAGCAAAAGCCATTTCCATGATAGTCAACAAACTGTGAAATACACGATTACTTTTATATGCAAAGACTTTACGATGTCGAAAATGCACTTCTTGATTTTCGAGATCCGTCTCTGGAAGCTAAAGGAGCGAAGTAGATCAGCTTTTCAGTTAAAAATCATGATCAACCCTTCCCAGTGACATGCACAACGCAAATCGACCGCTTCCCGAAAAATTGAGATAAAAAAAACGCTACGTACTTATGGAACGTCCTAATAGAAAGGATGGCAAGTTAATCCGATTTGTGGGCGGAGATAGTGACTACAACATTATCTGTATAATAACTTTGTGTAATGTGTTTTGAGTATTTTGTTTTTTTTGGAGTTGAACGCAGATCTAGAATATTATGAGACTGATAAAAGCATTTCTGGTGAGCACTAAAACGCGCTTGCTTCTGTGTATTTCACAACAAACTTCTATACGACATGCTCATTTTAAAGCATTAGAGCTCGACGCGGCGGACACAGCGAAAAGCCATAACTCCTTTCTAAGGAAAAAAGCAAAGGCCATTTTTTTGTACTTGAAAAATCGCTTCCCGAGACTTAATAGCGAAAACTCAGGGCCTTTAGGAAAAATCCAAAGATGATCTTTGGGAACTTCCCCCAAAGCCCTCGGGAAGTTTCCGTGATATCTGAAACATTGCCCCTTCGAACACAGTCATTTCAATCTAAGTACAAGATCCACTGCTTTACTGGGATATATCACCAATGCAGAAAACTGTGCTTCTTTTTCAATGAAGGTCGCAGACCATGCAGCTTCACGACAGTTACTCGCCTAAGTTGTCATGTACTTTTATTTTACCAAAACGGATAAATTTGCCTGCGATCTACAATACAATAGAAATACAATAGTTACAATAGAAACAATGTAGACACTGACAATGAGCGAGACGAAGTTATTGGAGTGAACAGTGAAATTAGTGAATCCATATTTTACAACTTCACCAGTAGCAGGGCTCAACCAAAAAGAAGTAGATAATCACAGGTCTTTCTTCAAAATGAAATAAGACGTGGGCTTTGCTGATGGAGGTTGAGAAAACTGCTCGTTATCTGCCCGCCAACGAGGCGCAGAGCATTTGCGACATGAATGCTTGAATTCGAGGCCAAGTTCCAACTATAAGCTATACTCTTTTTCGTTTTTACCCTCAAAGTTCCAACATGTGTTGGTTAAATGTTTGCCATCTGATTGAACGTGTTTTTTCTCACAGCCTCACAAGTTTTTCTCATCTTATTCCGCAGAAAAAAAGAGGGTCTAGAAGTTGATTTTGTCCCTTCCCTGGTTAATTTGACTAATCATGTTTGACGTTTGATTTGATCCGTTTTCTAGGCCATATCCATAAAGCTGTCGCTGTTAGATCGCGCTGTATTTGCTCCTTACCCTGAACACCAATGCATTTTGATTCTTGGCATTCATGCAAGACTCCCGTTAGAAAATTTTGCAAGCACACTATTTTACAACTGCTATATTTTTCTCTTCCCGGTGGTCTGCACTTTCACTTGCACTCATCTAGACGGAAATAGGTTTGACTGATGGAAAAGAGAGAGAGTCATATGATGAACTGTTGCTGAAAAGAATGGCACTGTTCTTTTCAAAATATGATAATTGCGATTTAAGCACAAGCTCCAAATATTATCTACATTGCTATACAGCTGCTATCCTGCATAGCAATGTAGATAATTGCAGAAAGGACATTCAGAGCTTCTGGATTATACTATAACACATTGACGACCGAAGCCTTTCTGGGACCAGCCAACATTTCCGTAAAATCATGCACAATTCCATCTACAGCACACCTACAGAATCGCTGGAATGCTGGCAAAAACAGTAGAGGTTGTATCTAAATCCAGCACGAAAGAGAACTCCCGGAGTTGGTTTGACACATTTGTAGCCATTTCAATGAGAGTCATGGTGTGTCAAGCCTTGACACACCATGTGTGTCAAGCGGTCGTCAATGTGATAATCATTCGTCATTTATCATGCATCAAATCAAAACACTTCCTAATGCGATATGCCATGAAAAGATGGATAAACCAAATAGATTTTGAGCAATCATGTTGGCAGATTTAGTCTAAATTTTATGAAGTAACATCTTCACATATTCATTACAATAATTGACGAGATGCCCGTGTAATACACCTTCTCTTCTCATAAACTGTCTTTAGCTTCGTTCAGTTTTCTGATTCATCTAAAGTATAGCAAGCTCTCGCAACAACAAAAGTATATCCGTTCGATAGCCAGACAGCTGAAACGTATCTGATACGATTAACGCTCTAAAAAACTTAAAGTCTACTGTTAATGGAGATTAATTTTCAATTTTAAT